TTGTATAAGATCGATGACCCTTTGTCGGGGATTTTTGCAACTCGAATGGTAATAGGGTCTTATAGAAGTGAACCCGCCAGGCCATTAACTTTATTTGTATTTGTATTTGTTTCTACCTAGCATTTGAAGGTAGTGTTTAGGATACTGAGAAGCCTATGCTTATCGAGCAGTGTCCTGGTCCTTCCTCTCGACGTGACCGCACCTCGTGATTCCCATGCCTGGAGTTACAGAGAGCTAACGACTCTCCTAATCCTGGGTGAAAATTTGGTCATGCCAGGGAATCGAGCCACGGACCCTTGGGTCTGTAGTTAGCGCCTCTAACAGTAGTGCTACTCACTATTAACACTACGGAATTCTCTTTATCATTCAACTTTTCATTCAATCTTCCTTCAAACCTTGAAAAAATCTTCCCCAGACAAATTTAATTCACAATGTCCCAAAGCTGCCACCACAAAAAAACCACTTCTTCACAGAACAGAAGTACACAAATCTTGATTTTTCTATGTCCTGGCTTGCAACTTACGAGCGAAATCAACCAGCAATGCAAAAACCACATTTTTCCAGCCAGTCAGACGTAGGATCTTCAACCACCAGACTAGTTCTCCCTGGTTTTGGTTCATGGCCAAGGTTTTCCCGACATTTTTGCAAGTTCTCCTTGCCTTCCTTGAAAAATCAAAATGGATCTTCTTCTGTTACTGTACCAATTCAAATTTGATGACTATTAATTTTGTAAGAAGCACTTCCTTTGTCGCTAGCACAATAGAGATTATTTTCACCAACGAACGCCTAACCTACATTGAAACAACAAATTTCTTTTTGGTAACCGGTATGATTTTTGTCAGGCGAGATGTCCTGGTGATCATCTTGCTTTGTGCCACTCAGATTTAGTCCTTTACTCTGAAATCCTTTGGTGATCTCTCTCGACATCTCTATGGCCCAATGATGGTTTCTGGAACAGGGGTGTTCTCTCTAAAGAATATGGCCTGCATCAAACATCAAATAGGGGTGTTCTTATCAGCTGGATTGGCAGCTTAACCTTTGATAGTCCTCACTCAATTAACTCTGTTGTCCCACAAGGTTCTGTCATATCCCTTACAGTATTGATTCCTTTCATCAACGATCTATTTATTCTATCTCTAACGAGCATTCTTGCGCTGCTGACGCTTAACTTAGCTCTTCGTTTCCATTCGCTTAAGCTCTTTTATAGTCACTCCTCTTCGAAGAAATGACTAAGCAGCACATCACTGATGATCTGAAAATCTCAATGATGAATTTAGAAGCAGAGTTAAGACAATGGTTCAATCAAAGCTTTTTCCATGATTGGTGGAAATTGTTTTGGACATTCACATTCCTGCCTCCTTTTCACAACTAAGCGTTTTCATTTCTGTATCCCACCACTCATTATTCATACCTAGCGCTTGTAAACCTTGGTTAGCTGATTTTCTCTCTATTCGCTTACCAGACTTTTATAACTTGTATTCATTTGCATTGTTGCATATTACGTTTTGACTTCATTGCAAAGGAAGGACTCCATATGCCATATGCCATAATCAAGTTTTTTCTACAATCCTCCAGGAGGGCATGCAGACCTCAACCTTAGGTATAATAAACTTGGCTTTGCCTATCATGTAAATTATTGTTTGAACATAACCAGAGTAATCAGAAGGCTCATATGACAAAACATTTTCATTGTTGTCTTTGCGAACTAACATTTTTGTGTTAAGTGTAATGCTGGTTTGGAAAAATATATATGATCTATTGCTTTGGTAACGGCATAAATTGCAAATTTATTGTTAACTCTATATTTAATATTCTAGGCATTATTTACCAGGGCTTCTACCAAGTAGTTGGGTAAAAACGAGACCCCGTTTCTAAGGGCCCGTTGTCGTTTTCAGATTCAGAGGCAGCTGTTCCAACTTCAACTTTCAAGATGACATAAAGGTTGAAAGAAAAATATTTCTTAACATTCATTTTGCATAGCTCTTAATAAGTGGATGTCACCTTGAGAAGACAGTGCCTCAAGGCCGGACGGGTTTCAATTTCAACACAAATTCAACAAAAAGGACAGTCTAGCGCCCTTTGTCACCTGTCTCAACAATAATTGCTGTCTCTAAGTCTACAATTATCTCAAATCCTTACAAGAGCCAAATTAGTAGTGAGGATGAAGAGATAAGTGGGGATAAAGAGTTGAGAGAAAATAACAGAAGGATAAAGCAAGTATTTTTTCAACTGTTTGCAGATTCACATTTACTTCTGTCCTTGGTGCCAGAGCATCGGTGAAAGAGTTGGTCGGTAAAAGAGTAAGACAAGAGCTACCCTGGGTACCAGACTCACTTTATAAAATAATAGAGAGTCTGGTCTAGTGCGCCCCATTCTCGTTCTGGTGGACTTACTTGAAAGAACTGTAGTCAATATAACAGACTAGGCCTGTGAAACAAGACTGTCAGATAAATAACAAAGAAACTCAGTAGTCAGAGGAGTTTTGTGAAATTTTAAAGCAAATGTATTTCATATAGTTCTGTAAAGTCGACATTATTAATACAGTGATAATAGACTTTTCTGCCTCAAGATTCCAATCAAATCAGGTGTAAAACGCCATTGGGCAGCAAAAAACACGTGAGAAGCATGAAATTAAAGTTAGCACAATGTAGTTATTAAATGTTAATCATTATTAAATTTCGTATACAACTTAAAAAAAGTTTTTTGTAATTTTCCTCATAAATTGTGTGTACTTTCAAAGTTCACTTCCTCACTGTGAAGGCAGCGCGCTTGGAAACCGCGGCGGTTAGAATCATCACGTTGGAAGTTCACCACAGCAAATATGGGCAATACGACAAGCGAAGCCCCGTATGCCGGGCGAAATATTAGCTATAACTGATTAACTGTGTTTGTTGTTGTTTGTTCTCGGTTTCTTATCTACTGCATTTCACTACAAGGCCTAATTTCTTTGTAATGAGAGGCACAGCCTGAAATATCAGAGACTTTCCAAAGCAAGTTGGCAATATGGCGAAGGTGTCTCTTCTCTTTACAAACAAGGCTGTTCTGTGTAAAGTTTTCACAACAAGCGGAAAATATTTTTTGAGTACAGTTTTAACAGCATCTTCAAACTCAATCTTTACGGTCGCTAGCATTTATTTATGTTGTATTCTGTTCAATGTTTTACACCAGAGCTAAGTTTATTGTTTCGCTGTGACCTTTGAACGTACAGAAATTTGTACACTCGATCCTGATTGGTTAATATCAGTACACCAGAACGAGAATGGGGCGCACTAGACCAGATTCTCTATTTTATTTTATATATAGTGAGTCTGGTACCCAGGGTGGACGAAAGCGAAAGCGAGAGTAGGATGTGAGGCCGACAAATGGCCTGGAGTTATTGGTCCCCACGGAACTGGGAAATGCAACAGTAATGGAGAACTTCTACTATCACTGTGCTCCGAGTTCGAACTCGTCATTACTAACACCATCTTCCGGCATAAAGAACATCATAAAAACACCTGCATATGATCGAAAACCGGTCCTGCACCACAAACAAAGATCCACACAGTGAAAATCCGGGACAATAAAGTATAGGAACAGCTAGAGTCAGAGATGGACACAGCACTAGAAAGGTATAACATCAAAGAAAATGACCTGGAAGGTTCATGGACTGAACTCAAGAACATAGCACACCAGACAGCTCTTGCAGTACTAGAGATTGAAAATTGAAATAAAAATTGAAGAAAGAAAATTTCGATTTCGATGCTGTTTAAACCTTCCCTCTAGAACCTTAATTTGAATACAACAAGATTATGATCCAAGCGCTAGAAGTAAGGTCCCAGTGAATGCTTTGAAGTTACAGCCCTTCGTCATATCCAGGCGGCTATTTTGTTATGAGCACCTTGACTAGAAGGGAAACCAAATTAATTTTACATCATAAATTACATTTGATTTGAGTATGAGTTGATATAATTCTATTACAAAATTGTATCGAAGCAGATGAAACTAAGTATTTCTGGAAAGGGACCACTCGGTTGCTTACATTCAATAGCCCGCGGATTGGCCTAGGTCGGGACCCTCTCAGTTCTTGTCTTTCTTTGATCATTAAGCCCTGGCAAAAAGACTAAACATTTCACTCAACTTTTGTTTAGTGAAGTTGAGCGAGGTTAGCGAGGGTGGCAAAACGTGAGTAAACTTTTCATTAAACTTAACTCAACTTTTTTGAACTGCGAGCTGTCTATAACGCTGTTGAGTTGTAGGGGATCTTGGGGGGGGGGGGGGGGGGAGAGAGATCTTGCATAGGAATTTGCTTTTGGTTTATTTTGTTGCATGCACAAGCAGTGGATAAAAATACGAAGTGGATGAAGCAACGGGGAAAGAAAAGACTTTTTAATACATTGACAACAAAGTTGACTGTTGAAGAAGACACAGTTACGTACAACGAGATATGTACATGTCTCATTAAGACTTTTTGGGTCACGTAAAGACAGGAAAGCCAACGATAACCAGCGAAAACCTTCGGATTACCGCAGCTAGTGCGCTTGTGCGATCACAACAAATTTTTAATTGGTAGCAAAACGACTAATCATTTGCTAAAAAACACTAAACAACGTCAAACATTTTTGACCAGGATCAAACTTTGCTCAACAACACTCAACACGACTAAACAACACTAAACAGGGTGGCAAAACGACCAGTGGCGTACCCAAGGGGGGAATAGGGGGGTCCGGACCCCCCAACTTTTCTTAAATATGATCCTCGAGATTTGTCCAAAAATGATGCAAAACTCGTTGGGGGGGGGGTGTAGTATACTGTCTGCTTGTAAAATACTTCGCTATTTACCGTAGCTAACATTAATCAAATAATGGGGAGAAATTTTGCAAAAAGGGCGTTTCCCCGCATTTGCGAGTGTCTGAAGGGCGTGATCCAAAAAAATTTCTGGGGGCTCCGCCCAAGAAACCCCCACCCTCCCACTGCTGCAGCCCTGATTACGCCACTGAAAACGACTAAACTTTTTACTAAACAAAAGTTGAGTGAAATGTTTAGTGAAATGTTTAGTCGTTTTGCCATGGCTTTAACTTGGTGGTTCATCGAGCCAGCCTTTGTTCAACTCATTCTATTTCGCCAATGAGGAAGTTTTCAATCCACGAATAATCTCAGTGATCAGCCAACCATGAACGAATTGAATCTTTTGTTGTTAATGAAATGCCGAACACAAAAAAATACCATCCAGAATATTGTTTCCAACATTAATTGCACGAGAGGACTTTCACATATTGCGTGGGAGTAAGGAATTGGGTTAGTATGGGGAGGGTAAACAGGTGAAGTTGAAGTGAATAGTACCAGACACGGGATAACACTGTCTACTTCACATAGTATTTTCCTGCTTCACGATGGACGAGGAAGACTTTACACAAACAGTGGGTCATGATTTCAGAGAAACTCTGGAAAAATTTCGAGTTGAAATTGTACAAACATTGGACTTAGAACGGCATTTCATTTTTGCTTACTTGCGTAGCAATTCTGTCTTCGACGAGGAAGACTGTGATATCATATTGAGCTCTGGACCGGGAAGGAAGCAGAAAGTTGCAAAGTTTCTAGATGTTTTGGCTTGCAAAGGACAAGAGGGTTTCGATCACTTCAAAGCTTCTTTGGCAGTCGAGCATCCGAATCTTTACGAAAAGATCACTGGGAAACGCCCAGAAAAACGTAAGTTCATTCTTGCATCCCTTCTCCCTTTGCGTTATAGACTAGTTACAGACTTTAGTGTTGCTCTGTAATTGTACACACACAATACAATGCCATCCATAACTTGAAAGAACGTGGCTATGAGAATATGTTTTCTTGCATTTGCCTTGATTGGAGTTACTATGATTCTAAACAATATCCCTCTTGTCTTTCACAAAGATAAAACGTAACTTTATCCAAAACTATTTTGTCATATTTGAGCGTGAAATTCCAATGCAAGGCAAATGTTACAAATGAGGTCAGCCGAGAAGTAGCAGTGAAACCTATACGTGGTTTTGACAAGATTATAAATTCAAAGCCTCAATATTCAGAGGGGCGTTTATTGATGTTTGACCTGACTCTAGTCTAGTAGATGCCATAGATGAGGAATATCAATTAAAAGCTGTCTCCCTTTAAAATTCAGATAAAACGGATAGGACGTGTCTTTATTGGAGCATTTTTCGGCCAACCTATTCATAGCATGCCCCCCCTTCTCAGTGGAGTGGTGGCACCAACCACTAGACTGTTGTAGAGGGGGGGGTGTGGGGAGAGAAGGGTGGGGGACAAATAGATGTCTTGCAGCCCATTTACCACAGGGAACGCAAATTTTACCAAAAGGGGACTCCTACGAACTAAGCAGATTCAAAAGCATAAAATCATATTTCAAATAGTACGTTTTCAAAATATTACCCCTCTCCCAACAATTTTTCCTCCAATATGTCCCCTACCCTTCTCCGTGGCGATGCTATTGCCTCCCTCTTTTCAGAAATAAAAGCTTCATAATGGTATGATCAATTATGGCTTCAAGTGCCAAATACGGTACAATCATGCATTAAAGCGATTCAGTATCACGTTGAGGCATTTGAATTCGTTGAAATAGAGGCATGTCCGGTGCCTCTATTTCAACTAAACTCTTTGATTTTATCTTAGTGCGATAGCTAAAGCGACTACATTTGAACATAGTCTTGAACTGTTCGTGGCCACATTTGAATTCCATATGGTTTACGCTTAGTCATCATTAACATTTGAATTTCTTACTTCTACCAATGCTGTGATATTTTGATTTTCTTTGTAGGTCTGAATCCTGTCGAGTCTTTGCACAAGTTCGGAAACAGCCTTTGGAGCGGAGGTAAAAGGCTTTTGTCCTACCAAAGTAACCAACCTCCTGTTTTCGTGGCATAATAAATAGAGGGGGAATTCTTAAAGCCGGCTTTTTGCAAAACTGGGAGAATATTTTTTTCAAGAAACTAGAAATTACATTCAGAATTATGTCTGTAAAATGTTTCAATTAAAGAACGAAATATGCAAAAATCCTTTCTCAGATTTAATTAATAGGGTAATAGAAAACTATCCCTGCGCGGGGCCGTTTCGGTTCTAGCTACCCTGCAATTGCGATGCCACATCAGCCCCTTGTAGATTCGTGTCAAATGTCCTCTCTGTCCCATGGTCTGGTATCGCTGTTTGCGCCGCTTGTTTGTCGTTTGCAGTGATGGGTCTCTCACCAGTGCATTTGTGACTAGCCTGGCATTTCTGTCGCATTCAGCCTTGCATGGTACCAAGCTAGCAAAGCAAGGATCCTCACGTAGAAAAACACTGTTTTCAATTGGGTTTCCTGCTAGGAAAAGTGAATCTCCAAATTGTCTCTAGTTGATAAAATTTTCGATACAGACGTATTCTGTTTTATGTTTTTGTTTTCAAAACCTTAGCTCGATGAAGGGAAACGTTCATTCAAAGTATCATGTATTTGTATTGTATAAGGGGTTTTTTTACATCGAGAAAATTATAAATGTTATGTCTCAAGAAAACAACCGCAGCAACAACCACAATGACAACAACAACAACAACTAACAACTAAAACAAACAACCACTCACAACAACAATGAAGATTTTGATATAAGTTAATGAAATACATGTGAAAACATGTATCTAGGATGCATGCAACAGAACCGGTATCTCTTAAAGCCGAAAACCCACTCCGGAAAATGATCCGCGGATCGGATAGATTTTGTGTTGCGCACGCGCTTTGGATGCAAAACTTGTTACATGACTGATCCGCGACGGATTCAACTTTTTTTGTACCGTTCCGGTACAGTAGTTTTCTTTTCATCAAGAAATGTCAACGTGCATGCCAATCTGAAACTATCCGTGGATCGAACGGAACTGATCAGAACAACACGATCTGATTCGATCCGCGGAGCTTTTTCAAGAGTGGGTTTTCGGCTTAACAGTCAAACCACCTGCCCGCAGACAAACTGGCTCCGAATTTTATTTCAGGAACGTTGACATCATCTGGGAAAATAGACTCTCATTTTATTGGCACATCGCATCTCTTAATTGCGGGTAGTTTTGGCCACTAAATCAACAGTTAAAACCAGAATCCGCAAACGTTCTATTTTATAATTTTGTTGACATTCAGTTATAGGCGGCATTAAAAGCTCACAGTAGATCCAAACATCTTGAGAAAGGCACTGACCTGAATACATTTAGTAAATAAATTGGCTCTTTCCAAATAAACACGTTGATCGACAACAACATAAAGCGTCAAATAACAATCAAATACAACGAAAAATGAATTTATTTGCCTAATGCGAAAGCAGATATAAATGAAGTATATGAACTAACATTTTGGTTTGACATAAAGTGGTTTGCCAGGAGACAGTACAAAAGCACAATTTCTGGCTGTTTTTTCCAAGGAGGCTAAAAGGGTCAGGAGGATTAGCATTGGAAGCGGGGACAGCGGAGTTAGCATGTGCCACTTATATATTTAATGTATCACTGTTTCACTTAATGTAAAGGGGCACCAATGTAAATTGGAAAATAGAGGGACCAAGGGCAAATTTTAAACAAAACATAAGATATACGTAAAAGATCTATTGTTTGCAAAAAAGTGGGGTCACCAAAGTGGTTTCATTATTCCCAACGCTGGTTAGCATAAAAATCCAAAGCCTTACATCTTTCTTACCAATAGCTTCAAACTTTTGCCATTAGTTGTGTGCTAAGCTAATTTCTAGTGATATCTTGTTCATTTCATTTCATTTCATTTCATTTTATAATATTTATACAGGTTAAAACCTGACCTGTTTAAAAGATTAAAATAAGAGCTAATAACTATGTTATAATACTAGTAACAAAAGAAGTTCGAAGATTCTATATACAACAAAACGACGACAATAAATGCTAAATTGAAGAACGTTTAACAGTGATTTAGGCTGATCTGAGACAGACTTGAGCAAACAATAGATTGCTTTCTCTCATCGCTTTTCGTGAACAACAGACTCACTGTGGCGCGCATATTTCTGTGATTGCGGTAGGTGGAGGTTCAAGGTCACGTCAACAGTTTCAGGCAGTCTGTCTCTGCTCTGCACAAGCGTAAAATCAGAAGCGCTTTGCCTGGAATTTTCTGTGGATCTTTTCTTCATCAGTTCTTTCTAGAAGTACCTCAAATGGTGTACTGAAGTCTTTGCACAAAATGTTCTTTTCTGAGCAAAATCTTGCACGTGGATGAATTTTTTTTCCCGCGGAACAATCAGAATTAAATAATGTGTTATTGAGGATCCTACCCGTATTTGGTTAGGATAATCCAATTTCCACCTACAAATTACAAATTTTTACAAATTAATCACTTATATAGCGCAGTTTTTTAAGAGGGTACCATTTGAGAAACCAGCACCCCACAATATCTTCAAATGGTATTAACGATTCATAGAAATGCTTCAATATCACTGCATTGTTTTACATCATGGAATGTCATTCAGCAACCGAGGTCCAATCACATCGATTTAACTTTTGGCTAATGATTCTCTTATTACTTGAATTTCAAGAATATCGAGTTCCATGTACATATTGTTTGATCTTAATATTCTCGCACTTTTACTTAGCTCAGTGTGTCTTTAAAGACTCATTGCTAACAATGAGCCTTTGCGAGCCTGACAAATTTTCCTGGTGACGACCCAAACAATGGCAGTAAACTTCTACAGATTAACCAGAATTGATTTCAGACTGTCTGAAAATGCATTATGGGATGCTTGCGTAGCGCAATGGCTCATTGTTAGCAATGAGTCTTTAAGGTATTGATGAGCTTTGTTTTCAGTGCTTTACAGTGCAGAATATGTTCAGTGCAGAGATGTCTTGTGCCACATTCATTGGCCTTCCTTCCGAGTAAAATTCCGGCATCTTACACTTGCACATTTTGCAATGTACTGGTCTCATGCTTTGGCAGGCCTACTGAAAATGCATTTGAATAATCTTGGTGGGACATTAATATGCCCACAGCTTTCTTTCTGCAGCTTTCATATGTTAATTCTTTTCTAGCTTGATAATTCTCTACAGTGGACTTGTGAACTTGGAGTCAATAACATTCCCATTATCTTTATCCGTAAGGAGATGGTTTTGTCGTTGAACTTGAGGACGACTCTCGGTTCTCCCCGGGAGCCCTAAACACAGAGCTAATATCATGTGGTTATCTCTGGACCAGTAAGGGTGCTAATCAAGTATTCCTCGAGGTTTAGTGCTACAGCGTCAATATTTAATGGACTCATCGTTGTAATGGAGTTGCCCAAATTGGAATTGTCTTAATGGATCTGTCTAAATTGGAAGTGTCTACGATGTAGCAAGAAGTTAACAAATACATTATGTCTTTTTCTTTGTCGTCGTACTGGTTATTAGCTTCAATATCGTTTTCAAATGTGAAGATTCAAGTTTCGTCTGCAAAATTCCAAACTTCAGATTCTTCAGCTGCATGAAATAGATCATTTACTGAAGGTACTAAAAAAATTGGAACACCAGATTTGATCTCTAGCATTCGCTGAACTCAATCAAACATCAAGCAGTCTCATCTGTTCGTAAGGTATCTATGAATAAACAGCACGGTATTTACAATGACCGAAACATGTGCCTTCGTAAGGTGCATGAGTCTTATCCCAACAATATCCATTTCAGCCAGGGCTTTGCAACACATTGTTGTGGATCTGAATGAGACGTATCACGTTTTGGTCCGAAGTTATTTTTAAGAAAAGAATGAAGAGAAGATACAGGGATTTGAGAGATCTTAGAAATACAAATGCTTTCATTTAAAATCATTTCAGAGACCAAATACTGCAGTTACTAACCATTAAACTTGCGCTTAAGTCCACCGAATGTCCACCCAATGTCCACCGATTCAGTTAATCCTGAAAGAATTGTGATCTGAATTTTAAATGTGGAACTGATATTAAGCTGTTGAATTTACTATGCCATCGCCATCTGTACAGACGATAAACTGAATCAGTTGTACAGCATCTTCTCTTTTCGCTGAAAATCTTTTTTATCTTGCTAATTTTTTTTCTTGTAGGACTAGCGGGGAAAGATTTGATTGATTTCGATCGACAATACTTGGCAACGCAGTTGGAAAAAACAGCCGGCGATCTGAAAATGCTATCCCATGTTCACAGCAAAACTGTTCATGAGAAGAACGCTTTGGAAAGGAAGGTCCTTGAAACTTCTTCAAATCTCGAAGATCAGCAACAAGAGGTTCAAGAGCTGCGAGAGCAACTGAAGAATTCGCGGGGTCAGTCGTTAAAAAATCCCGGTAATGCTGCAGGCAATTCTTTCACCGTGCAGCGATATATACAGGAGCTGATGGCAGAAAATGCAGACAAAAGTAATAGAATAATATCATTGCAGCAGAGCTTACTTGATGCTGTCGAGAATGCCGAAAGAGACAGGGTCTCCTTTGTGGATTTGCAGCGAAGACACGAAGAGATTCTTCAGCAGTTACGCGACGTTACGATAAATTACGATTGGGAGCGGCGAAACTCAATAAGAATGAGCGAAAGGATGCGAAAGCAAAGCAACCAAATCAAAATCGGCGAAGACCTGCGCCGTGAGATTTTTGATCTGAAGCTGAAGCTTTCCGAAATGCAGGATCAGAGGGATGAAGCAAAAGACGAGTTAAGAGAATTTCGTAACGTTACCGAAGCATTAAGTGCTAAATTCGACAGCGTTCGTCAAGAGAAAGAAAAAGCAATCGAGTTTCGAGAAGAATGCTCCAGCACAATGGCAGAATTACAGGCAGAAAGCCAGTACTTGCAAGCAAAACTACAGGAGGCCTACTTGGACCTAAATAACATGAAAAGACAAAACATGAGACTGACACAAGAGTCACGAACTCATAAAGAGCAACGCGATGTTTTGCTGCAGGAAAGAGAGATTGCAATTAATGAGCGGAATGCGTCCATGAAGGATCTCGAAGAAGCTTTACGACTTAACCAGGAATTGCGTAAATCACGTGACGACTCCGTTGAAGCGCATATAAAAATCAACAAGATGTTACAGGATGACTACAACAAGCTGCACGAAGAGATGGATGTGGTGCGGCACGAAGTGCGACTTATAACAGAGGAAAACGAACGGTTGAGGCTTAAAGTGAGACAATGTGAAAATGCCAGAAACATGGCCCCCTTGGAAGCTCTTGAGTCGACAGAGGTAATGAGATTTCAGCTTTAAATCTTTCAAATTTTGAAAAGAAATCGGTTAGTCTCTGTTATAGGAAATTTTGCACCAGAATCCCTTCAAAAATTAATAACCTGATTGAATTAATCTTTTCGCTTTGTTCTAAAACTATGAAGGATGTGAAATATCTCCTGCCAAAATAATGCTGGTTCTGTAAGAAATTTGTTTTTACTCTTTTTTCGCAAGTCTAGTTTAGATAACGTTTCCTTTTCGCGCCGTTATAAAACTTTAGCGACAATATTACCTGGAACTGGGGATACATCCAACTCGATTTTCTTCTAAAAGTTATATGCAAAAAAGTCACTTCGAAACGCTTTATTGATATCGCTGCCTTCCCTATATGCTGCATGCCCTATATCGGCGACAGCTTAAATATAAGCAACGTCTTCTGCATACATTAAAAATCCCTTTGATGACGTAAAACTGCAAAAGCTTTGTCGTTTTACGGTCAGTCCTAAGTTTTTGTGAAATCATCCGTTTTTTATTATCATCGTTTTTAATTGAAAAGCCTGCTTTCTTTGACTAATGGACAAGTAATCTTTCGCTTTCTGCAGGACTCCGAAAGCACGGTTGACAAAGACAATGTTTTGCCTCAAACGAAAACCGAACTTGCAGATGAAGCAGCGGAAGAGACCAGCTCGGTCAATGCGTTTAAGCCTTTTCCTTGGAAGAAATCAAGAAGTAACACAGCAGTTTTGAACAGCGCATACAGGAGAATAAACGAACCTAAAGCAGAAGATTTTTCTAAGCACCGAGCCTCTTTGCCCGCAGTCTTGAGCTTACATGGCAACGAGGCTTTATTGTCGGCTGTGGAAAACTCGGACACCAAACAAGCTGCCAGGTTCAATCAAACAGAAGAGGAGCTGGTGCATCTTGAAAGCCAAAAGCCGAAATCCGATATTCTGAAAATTGATGTAAAAGCTGCCAGGGCGTTAAATGGCTCAGAATCTCAAAACAGCTCACTGGAATGCTCAAGCAGAGATTCAGGAAAAAGCATCACGTCAATTGTGCCATTAATTTCAGGGTTAAGCATGAACCTCGCCATGAGCTCTGGATCACAGGAAAGTTTGCTTATAAAAGACAGGCCCAACTCTCCGCCCGCACGACTCCTAAGGTCACCAGAACCAAGGAGCAAACAAATCACAAAATCGTTCTCCCCGAAGGTTTTGTACAAAATTGATCGAAATTCAGCTTTCGACTTCCCGTTCCCGAAAAAGATTTTGAAGGGTAAAGATGGTGATCAGACAGGAAAAAAGCAAGTTGATTCAGCATGCAGTTCTTCAGAAGATCCAAGTAAAAGTCACGGGCAATCCTCTTCTCCAAAAACTGTTTTGAATGGAAATGCATGTGGAAATGGCAGCCTTGAAAAGACGTCGTGTACAACTGAGAAATCTGCTAAGGTTAACCGTTGCGCTACTATCGAGCAGGTTAGTCTTGCAACAGACTTCTTGGATGTAAATTTACCCAAGAGGAGGCATAGTAGTGCGGACCTTGTCAGCCTATCGAAAGAGGAAGGTCGGGCCTCTGATGTTTAGCGGTATTTCACTCGTTGTTCATGTTGTCATAAAGGACAGTAGCTACTGCTTTTGAGAATATATGATCTATAAATGTTCGTAAAAATCTTTATATAAGCCTCAAATAAATAGCTATCCGGTGTATTCATTTTAAAATTTTACTACCCTGGGTACAATTGCCATCTAAATTCGAGCACGGATGAGGGGCGACGAAGGTAAACTTTTCTTTCCTTTCTCTGCACCTATCTTTCATTTCCTCGCTCAAATTTTGTGGCTCTGGTGCCCAGGATACAATTTTACGTTTGTCAAATTCATACTGTCTACATCCCAATGCCATTTGAACTACGTGCTACAGGGTTAAAAAACCTAACAGTTAAGCTCCAGAAACTCTTACGCATTTTAATGTACGCTTGCCTTTTCCAAAAAGCCCTTTCCTTTGTCTTGCAAAGGATTGTGTGTTGCCATTCAAGTGACATTCTTCAAATAAGTGATGAATTCATTCGATGCAAATGCCGGAAACCCTCAATTTTGACAACACCCTTTTCGAGTAACCATCTGAATTTTTACCTACGTCGAACATTTATACCTAATTTATTCGAATGCAATTAGATAACCATTTATGTTACTGTATTGCAGCTGATACGTGTAATTTAGACAGTATAGTTACAAACATCAGAATTGTGAATCAGTTCTCTGGCTTTCCTGTATAACAAACCTGTGGATATCAAGCAACACACACAGTACATCGTACAGTATTTCATAACCTTCTTTTATTCGTAACTGCGAGATTTGCATCACTCTACATCTGCTTAGGGCCAACTTCAATTGGATTGCAGTTACTAGTTTCACGAATTGAGAAAAGAGGTGAATATTTGGAATTATCTTTTGCTAAAGAAACTAATTAGGATTTTTCGCGTTTTAGTGAGACTATGGTGAAATTCAAGGAATACGCGTGAAAAACAATTTTTTCACTCTTGCAAATAGCCAACGACATTTCAAAACCAAAAGGTTTTAAAGAGATTTTCTGATAAAACAATAGGATCTCTCTACCAAAGATGTATGAGATTTCATAGAGTTATTTGCCCTTCGAACAAAACAACGAAAACAATATTAAAATTCGTTAAAAACAATCATCTGTCATCAAAGTTTCCCAGGGGGTCAAGAACAAAGTTCTCTTGATTTTTCATGGGAATAAACTTTCACGAAAGTCGCATTTCAGAATGTTTCGATGATCAACCCCTTGCGATTTTAAGCCGAAATCGCAAAAATGCGAAAACGCAAAACAGGGCTGTTACTTAATTCAATGTACTCAGTGGTAACGTTTTGAACATTGCATCTTTTGCTAATTCTTTATATAAGATTTGACATAGTCCACAAAGCATGGCCAAGACCACCCAACAGAGACTGCCTGTGGGTATTTGGTGGGTTTATGTGCACTATGGTTTTTGTCATGATTGAAATCCTAATTCTACAGTATCAAACTAGAAAACAGGGTGCGCATGTCCAGGAAACTTTTTATAAGAAACCAGGATTTGTATAAAGGAACTGAAATCTTGATCCAGTTACAAAGAAAGACAATTTTTAAAATTATACCTTCTAGAAGGGCTAAAAAGCATAGTTAAAGAAACTAAAACTAAAACCCCCAAACTAAAAGTTAAGAAAATACTTTACCGTTTAGGATAGACAAGCCGACAGTAGACCTTTCCCCTAATTACGTCATGGCGCAATGCATTCTGGTACTTGTAGTTAAACCCGCGAACATTTGTTTATGTTTTGTACGGCGATCAGATGAAGTTCTGTTATCATCCAACGCTCTTTGTTCAAATAATCAAGCAAATCATGGAAAATACGGCAGAATTTAACACCCTGTTCAGTGATGTTCAGTGGTGTTCAGTGGTGTTCAGTGATGTTCAGTGATGTTCAGTGATGTTCAGTGATGTTCTTTCTTTCTTTCTTTCTTTCTTTCTTTCTTTCTTTCTTTCTTTCTTTCTTTCTTTCTTTCTTTCTTTCTTTCTTTTTTTTCTTTTCTTTTATCATATTTATACACAGAAACCCTATCAGCTACTAAGTTAAAAAAGAAAAAGTAAAGATTAATTTATATATAATGCTGGTCTTCCTAGGGATCGTGCTTCGGGAAAGGATGCTAATTTTGCAGGAATTCCTTTAATTTCTTTTTGAACGTGGTAATCGTGGAGCTCATTCTTATCTGTAATGGAATTTCGTTCCACGTCTGTGCACCACAATAGAAAAAACTCCTTTTGGAGAATTCTATGTTTTGCCTTGGGATGTCTAGGTGAAGGCAATTTCTTGTTGAATAGTTAGATATTTGGGATCAAGTGACAAGTCTTCCTTTCAAATTGTCAGGGCAGAGACCATTTATTATTTTGTAGATCATTACTGCCCTGTCAAACTTTATCAAATTTGATACCGAAAGCCAATTGCAGCTCCGCCCGTCCTTTAATCTTGAGCCTTCTATAAGCGTGCGCGCTTTGTTTTGTAAACGCTAAAGATGATCGAGCTTTGTGTTTGACAACTTGCCCCATAGTTCATCACTGTATCTCAAATGGCTCTCGCCTTGTAGACCCGATCCAGTTTCGATTGCGGGAATATGTTCTTTAGTTTCCACAGGGACGAGAGTGTATTTTTTATTGTACCTTTAAGGTTTTTATATTGCTCATTCCATGTCAGGTTTTCGTCGACCGTAATTCCTAGGTATTTTATCTTTTGAGCTCGTTTGATTGGCTCTCCATTTACATTTACTTCTAGTGGGCCAAGGATACGTTTGGTTTGTCGTTTATGACCAATAACCATATATTCTGTTTTATCAGAATTCAAACTAAGCTTATTCTGACGTAACAATTCTGCAATAATGTCGATCTCAGCTTGTAGATCATTACAGAGATCGTAGATATCTTCAGGAGAACAGGCGACACTGGTATTGTCCGCATACATGTTTGAGGTGCATTTTTTGAGGCACTGCTCGAAATCATTGACATACAGGATGAAGAGGAGCGGCCCTAAGCCCGATCCCTGGGGGATACCGCAGTGGACAGTTGTTAAGCTTAATCTATGGCCATTTATTTGACAGTATTGTCTTCTGCCAGTTAAATACGATGTGAACCACCGAAGAGATGTCCCTTCCACTCCGTATTTGGTTAGTTTCGATAGAAGAATCCCGTGGACCACCATATCAAGCGCCTTTTTAAGGTCGAGAAATACGCTTATATTAATCTGAGCTTGTCAATATTAGATAACCATGAATCTGTTATATTTGATAGTGACGTCAGGGTGTTATGCATCTTTAAGAATGCATGTTGACTTTCAGCAAATTTCTTTTGCTCTTCCATGTAAGTCGAGACTTGGTCGTGCTCAAATCTTTCTAGTAACCTCGAGAATACGGATAGCATATGGTCTGAAGTGATTGCCTTAAATTCAAAATTTGGGGTTGTGGATGCATCTTCATCAGCGAAGTATTTTAGTGGTTTATCTGATTCTTTAGTTACGATTTTTCCGCAAGTTTAGGGCCTATCGTTGTGAAGTGGTTATTAAATGCTTCCGCAGTTCCCTTCTGCTTTTGAATTAGTTGACCCTCACATATATGACGGATCTGGGAGTCGTGGAGCACTGACTTTTGTTTAAAATTTTTTAATCGTTTTCCACATCTCCTTAAGGCTATTTGAATTTTCATCTATCAAATTGCAGAAGTAGTTTTCGACAGCTCTTCGGAGTTCACTGGTCACCCTGTTTCTTAAAGGCATTTGACACAGGTAAAAGTGGCTTACAGCCACTCGACCACGAGCGGTTGACCAATCAAATTGCACACAGAGAAAAACACGTGAACAGTTTCCGTCTTTCTGCAAATCAGTGAAATTCTAGAGCAGCGCGCAGTGGTTTCACGTGAGCGGTTTTCAATACCTTTCTTGTGTGCGTGCTCTGATCACTTTGGCCTTAGTTATTTTTGGATTCGCTGTACTTATGCATGTCAAATGCCTTCAAGCGCTTATACTGAGGCCATAGAGATCGATCTTTTTCAGCACGTTTCATAGTCCGGCCTCTCTCATGTATAACATTTCTGATACGGGGAGTTGTCCAGGGTGAGGGTGCATGTCTCAATGTATTTTTTCGTATTTCAAGAGGTACATGTATATCTAAGATCGAGTGGAAAACTTCGCAAAACTTGTTTGCCATGATATTAGGGTCATCACAGGCGGTGGATATAGCCATTTCCCAATCGATACGATGCAGGTCGAGAGGAATGTTCAGTGATGCTGAGTGTTGTTTAGCGACGTTGAGTGGAGTTTGAAAAAATGTTCAGCCGCTCGAGTCAAGGTGATGTTGTTTAAAGATGTTGGGAGCGTTTTAACAATGTTCAGTCGACGCAAGCGCACTTGATTTGGATTTAGCGCGCCAAAGAAATAAATAAGCTTCAACTTGTCAAGAGCTCAGATCATACCAAGAGGTTGAGAGAAGTTAACGTACCAAGAAGTTGAGAGAAGTTAACGCTTCGAAACAATTTGCAGTTAAAGCGAATCGGATTAGAAGCTGCGAGATAGAGAGCAGCCTTCCGTTGGACCTGAAGGCCGGTTCCCACTTCAGCGAATTCTTCAGCGCTTTCGCCGAGCGTGTTTCCGTTCAGAGGGAAGCTGTGTTTCCCTGTTTTGTGTTTCGCGAACTCGATGAAGAATTCTCTCAAGTGGTAACCGTCCTTAAATCCTGACCCTTGGAAATCATCAGGCAGCTACTGTTAAAGGAAAAGAGTGTCCGAAGCTCATCTTCCCCAGTACCTAAATAACGGATTGCCTTGTCTTGGATCTCTGAAAGTCCGAAGTTCACCCACATTCAACATCATGAGCGATGTTCAGTGAAATGTTGGGAAGCCTAATCTTATCTTTGAGCTTTTATTTTTAACTAATGACAGAAGTGTTGTCGATTTTTGAAAAGAAAACAGAGTTCCTGTAGTGAAAGGATCGTGAACATTGGCATTTCAAAGGTTGAACAGTTTTTGCGGTGAGGAAGCGCATTTTGCACAGCAATAACTTTTGAAGGCTTGTTTCCGCATGTTTCCGCTTGTTTACGCAACCTACAAAACGCTTACGCTTCCTTGATGCTGATCAAAACCACCTTTTGACGGGAAAAATGACGTTTCATTAAATCAAACATCATCGACATGGGCTTATCAAACTGAATAGCAATCAATGTTTGGTTAACGTTGTTTTTCCCTTTAATCAATGATTTGGTAATCATTCATTTTTATCTTCAGTATCTGAGCAAAATAGATACGTAGTATTATAAGGGTAACTTTAATAATGATCCGATAATGGGACGAGCCTGTTATTTTGAATCGGATCATCTCTTGGCTACTCGTATAGAACAGGTGGAATCAAGAAGAACATGTTCATGCTGAGTCCATCATGGTTTCATTAATCTTAGATGAGCTCATTTTAATAAATTCATGTTTGGCTAATAACCATTTCATAGGAACAGATTATCTACCGATGTAGCAGATCGAAATTTCCGCAATTTGCCTTTGAACATGTAACAGAAACGTGCACTACAATATAGAGCTCTTTATCAAGCAAAACATATGTTCCATTTTGACTTATTGAAGGTACTGAACAGCAGCAAACAACAGTTTATTCATTGAAAGACATGTTCAATGCTTGCCAAAAGTCTTGGAACACGAGATTTCCAAGGTCAAAATCAATCATCCCCCTCTCCCCTACAGAACAATGTTGGTTTACTATCAAACGGGCTAGGATTTTAGGAAGCCCTTTCTTTTGCGCTTCCTTTATGATATTTCTCTAAATTATCAACATTGTTTTAGGGGGAAGGGGGCGGAAGTAATAATTTTTCCTTCATGAAAGGAATGAAAGATATCAAATGCAGTGTGAATTGCTGGGTGTTCCAAGTACTTTTGGCAGGCATTGTTCATCTAAAGAAGTAAGAAGCTTGGCACATTTGCAAAGCGAATTTTCGATGTGCATGTCTATTTATGATTGCACAAACTTAAGACACATTTGACATTGTAAAAGACAGTAGATTCATGCCAAATCTCAACACTTATACAAATTATCAAATCTCTATAATGGCAAAGTTGCAAAATAAAATTCCAGGTTGAAATTATAGTTAACTGCCACGCCTCTCTGATATAACAATACTGATGCATTGATGTTAATAACTGTTTGCATACCAAGAGCTGTGACCCAACAACAGACAGACATAGCATTGCTTGATCTACCTTCTTTGCATACCCATGGGAGGCAGTGAACCAGGAGCACCTCCAGATGCACCAGGACCGAGGAGAATCTGAAAAAATATGACAAAAATCTTCCTAGAAAAATGCTACTTTAAAATGCTACTGGAAAGCAATTTCTATATTAAATTTGGATTTGCAAAATGAACCTCTGTTTACCTATTCGCTATTAAAGGGAAAAATCACAAAAAGATTTTTTCATTCTCAAATAAAACTTCTTTAAACTTTAGGAAAAGATAACAAGTAACAAAGAAAGACCTTGCTGATAGCTTAATAGTCATTAACCACACATAATAAAATATAATGCTAGTTTCTGTTTACAAGTTATATGTTGCAATATGCAAGGCAATCTGACTATGAATGGATTTGAAAAAAGGCAAACATTTTGAAACAAACTTAAGCTTTTTATCTGACACTCATCAGAGTAAAAAATGTCAAAGTAATGATAAAACATTTGAAGCTAGAAAGTGGATCCAAATTATCCCAGGTGCGGTTCCAAAAATAAATCAGAAACCCAAACACATGAATGTTTAGGTTGGTGCCCTTTGCCTAAAGAACATAAAACCAAAGGAGAGTAAGAGTAAAAACAAATCATGTCACAGCCCTTTCTTGATATTTTACTACACAAAATTTATTACAAATCGTGTTGTGTTGAAAAGCTGTTTAAATCATACACAATACACCTTTCCAAAAGAGTAATTCCAAGGCAAAAAAGACAATCTCTTTAAGAGTAAGAAAATCCTTAGTGAAAACAGTCACCCTTGATAGATATGTATAATGGAGATGACCCAGGAAAATACATAAGTTATACACACAAACATGATACATAGCATAATACAATTCTGTTCAAGGGGTAAGAAGTCATTATGCATTGTAAAAGCAGAAAAGAAAATAAGTCTGAAATTAGTTGGCCAGGAAGAGAAAAACAATATGGCTACCTTTTATATAAAGTGGAGAGTTCGCTTAAAACTTTGTAATACCAATTTTTAAATTTGGTTTTTCTCATTAGGAACTTGTCACTGAGGCTGGCGAAATGACACATTGCATGTTCCATGCACAGCATTTGAAGCATGGCATAGTGTCTTCATTTCAAAACATATTAAACCTTATTTGCTTTGACTTGCAATTTAACAGCCATTGTAGCAACCTTTAAGGAAAGTCTAAACCAATGCTTTGTCTTACCATCTTATTACAATATTAGTTTACCTGTCTTTGTTGCATAAGTTGTGCCTCTTCTGTTTGCACTCTCTCTACTTCAAAAACAACAGGTAATGCTAATATTACTACGGATGTTCCAAGTATCCACAAGGCAGAGCGTGTAAAATGGTACGCAGCACCAGCTCCTTTCAAAGATGTACCATAGACAGTGCTTGCAGCATTTCTTACACCATCAGGAAACATTTCGGACAATGCCATAAATCTTTCTGCAAGTGTTTCATCTTCAATCTCATCTTCTTCTTCAAAATGCTAAGAGCAACCAATAAATATGTTACTGACAGGAACAATGCTTTTAAGGTGACAAACTAATTCAATTAAAATTCGCCGAAAATTGCTAGAAAAGAGAACCTCAATTAATCGTTATACTGCTATTTGTTATATTTGTTATTATTCATCTATTTGTTAAAACAAAGGTGTATCCACATCAAAATTTGAAATCATACATCTATTAAACAAAGGGGATCTTAAACCATGTGATAAAGCAGTATGCTAAAGGAGCAATCAAGATGCGAGAGAAGTCACAATGAATGGTAAACAACTTAAACCAGTCTGCGGAGTGTGGCAGTTCTCGACAAGATCTTGTGTGCAATAACAAATATAAATGTGTGCAAGAGTGCTGACAAAGTGTGCAATGTGTGCACACTGTTCAGTTTTGATTCATTGTGCGCAGCAAGCTTCTAATGGCAAAGTGTTTGTCAATTTGTCTCACAATGTGTGCATAGCAATTATTTCCTGCAACAGCATTTTCAAGCATTCCACAAAATTATGACTTTAGATTAGAATTCAGCATGGGGTCAATCATATATTTTTTATGATTAGACTTCAATTATTTCGATCCCTCCCTTGTACTTAGCCAAACTTCTAGGTGGGGGTGTGGGGTTGAAATGTAACCCCCCCCCAAAAAAAAAGTTCATTCAGTCAGTTGGTTTTAATATAATTCAGTCCACAGAATGATCTCTACAGAGTAAATTCTTGACCCTATAACCATGATTGAGCACAAGTCAGATACTACAGTTTCCCAAATAATCTTACTTTCTTTGATTCAGACCTTTTCATGTCCGTTGATAGTGACAGGCAAGACCTATTCTTACCATCCCTCACTTAGGAAATTGACAATAAACCTAAGACTGTAGTTTCTTAGAGAATTGGAATATGCTAGTCAGTAGACTTTAATTCTGGACATCAATGGCTTTAGGGCAAGCATAGCTCTTTTCAAAATATTAAAAACAAATACTGAGGTATGAGATGCCTCCAGGGCCATTCTGCAGTAATCTATAGGGTGTGACCCTTAAAAATTTCCCTGGAGGAGTACCCCCAGATCCCCCTTCTTCTAGCCTCACAAAGTTTTGAGATTTCATTGAGCAACCCTGAAAAGCTGTGCTTCATATTTCATTCAATGTATTTGCATGCCAGAGCTTCTCAAACCAGGAGGAGAGTATCATCTAAAGAAACTCAATCTGCTCACAAAATGCACATAGCAAATGGTACATGTTCTCTAATTTAGTTATAGACAGCAACTTTTTCAACTTGTGACAATCAGATGGTTCTAATGCTCACCAACACAAGTTAAAGTTATTTTATGAATACTAAAATCCCATTTATCAGCATTTCAAAATTTCAAAGAAAACGTTGTTTAGCAACATTTTAAAACAGGTGATCCTTTAAAATTTTCCAGTACCCAAAAAAATTGTGTGCAGCCCTATATTTATCATTTTTCATCTATTGCTACAGGGGCAGATCCAGACAGTTCCGGATTTTGCAGTTGCAACTGTTACATTTATGTTACATCCACAGATAAATCTTGATAATCAAGTTCCATATTTCTGGAACTTGTAATCTTTTATATGGGTGAAAGTTTCAGGAATGACAGTTTAATTCTCCAATAGCAACATCACATGCAAGGGCAGAGAACAGAGCACATGCATTTGTTATAATGCCTTTCACAAGGTGTTCAACACCTGTTCACTGTTTTTTTCATTCCAGGCTATTTGCATCCATGTTGCTAATGCTACTGTTCAGGAAAGATAGCTTTTTTGATGCATATTCAAATTCTAATGATGAAAGTTGACCGCCCACAGAAAAAAGCACATGCATTTGTGTTAATGTCTTATTCAAAGTGATCAACAACTATTCACTGTTTTTTCACTTCAGGCCACGTCACCAACCTATAATAATGATTTAATATTTTGCTTATGCTGCTGTTCAGAAATGATATCTCTGTTTTTAGCTGTTAATGTTGTTAAACTTTTGAACCTTTTTCGTTGGCAAATCTCTATTTTTTTCTGGATCCACCCCTGTGCTGAGCTGCTATTCTATCTTTTTTATTTTCATGGTGTATCTTGCAAAATCGTTGACGACGTTCATTGAGCATGAAATTATTTGAGAGCACTTCTGAATCTATGATTCAGATTCTAAAGAATCAAAAATTAATATAAAAAAATTAATCACTTTCATCACTAAAAATCAAATTAATCACACACAAAATTGATTTAATCACAAATCAATCACTAGTGATTATTTATCTCATACACCATTTTTAAGAGTAATTTGCCCCTCGACATAGACACTACGCCACTGCCAGTCTGCAGAGTGTGGCATGTGCACACACAAGATTGTTTCAGAGGCTTCCACACAAATGCACACAAAAACATAGGGCTGCACACACATTTTTCTAGGTGCTGGAAATTTTTAAGGACCATCCTTTATGAAACATTGCTTTCCTATCTTGGTCTAAACAACAATTTCTTTGAAATTTTGAAATGCTGATAAATTGGGATTTTAGTATTCATAGTATTCATAAAATCCCAATTTATCAGCATTTCAAAATTTCAAAGAAATTGTTGTTTAGACCAAGATAGGAAAGCAATGTTTCATAAAGGATGGTCCTTAAAAATTTCCAGCACCTAGAAAAATGTGTGTGCAGCCCTATGTTTTTGTGTGCATTTGTGTGGAAGCCTCTGAAACAATCTTGTGTGTGCACATGCCACACTCTGCAGACTGGCAGTGGCGTAGTGTCTATGTCGAGGGGCAAATTACTCTTAAAAATGCTGTATGAGATAAATAATCACTAGTGATTGATTTGTGATTAAATCAATTTTGTGTGTGATTAATTTGATTTTTAGTGATGAAAGTGATTAATTTTTTTATATTAATTTTTGATTCTTTAGAATCTGAATCATAGATTCAGAAGTGCTCTCAAATAATTTCATGCTCAATGAACGTCGTCAACGATTTTGCAAGATACACCATGAAAATAAAAAAGATAGAATAGCAGCTCAGCACAGGGGTGGATCCAGAAAAAAATAGAGATTTGCCAACGAAAAAGGTTCAAAAGTTTAACAACATTAACAGCTAAAAACAGAGATATCATTTCTGAACAGCAGCATAAGCAAAATATTAAATCATTATTATAGGTTGGTGACGTGGCCTGAAGTGAAAAAACAGTGAATAGTTGTTGATCACTTTGAATAAGACATTAACACAAATGCATGTGCTTTTTTCTGTGGGCGGTCAACTTTCATCATTAGAATTTGAATATGCATCAAAAAAGCTATCTTTCCTGAACAGTAGCATTAGCAACATGGATGCAAATAGCCTGGAATGAAAAAAACAGTGAACAGGTGTTGAACACCTTGTGAAAGGCATTATAACAAATGCATGTGCTCTGTTCTCTGCCCTTGCATGTGATGTTGCTATTGGAGAATTAAACTGTCATTCCTGAAACTTTCACCCATATAAAAGATTACAAGTTCCAGAAATATGGAACTTGATTATCAAGATTTATCTGTGGATGTAACATAAATGTAACAGTTGCAACTGCAAAATCCGGAACTGTCTGGATCTGCCCCTGTAGCAATAGATGAAAAATGATAAGTATAGGGCTGCACACAATTTTTTTGGGTACTGGAAAATTTTAAAGGATCACCTGTTTTAAAATGTTGCTAAACAACGTTTTCTTTGAAATTTTGAAATGCTGATAAATGGGATTTTAGTATTCATAAAATAACTTTAACTTGTGTTGGTGAGCATTAGAACCATCTGATTGTCACAAGTTGAAAAAGTTGCTGTCTATAACTAAATTAGAGAACATGTACCATTTGATATGTGCATTTTGTGAGCAGATTGAGTTTCTTTAGATGATACTCTCCTCCTGGTTTGAGAAGCTCTAGCATGCAAATGCATTGAATGAAATATGAGGCACAGCTTTTCAGGTTTGCTCAATCCACTCTAAAAGATTTGTACAGTTAAAAGAAGGGGGGTCTGGGGGTACTCGCCTAGGAAAGTTTTTAAGGGCCACACCTTAAAGATTACCACAGAATGGCCCTGGAGTCATCTCATATCTCAGTATTTTGATTTGATATTTTGAAATGGCCTACACTTGCCCTAAATCCATTGTTGCCCAGAATTAAAAATCTACTGACATACATATTCCAGTTTTCTTAGAAACTACAGCCTTATGTTTATTCTCAATTTTCTAAGCAAGGGCT